TTATGGTTTGGATGTGAGATATCCCCAAAAAACTCACATGTGAGACAATGTAAGAAGGTTCAGAGAAGAAATGATTGGGTTATGAGACCTTAACCCAATCAATGAATTAATTGCCTGATGGGATTAATTGAGTGGTGACTGAAGGCTGGTAGGGTGTGGCTGGAGGTGGTAGGACGTTGAGGGAGTGACTTTGGGGTGTACATTTGTATCTGGCAAGTGGAGTCTCTCTCTCTGCTTCCTAATCATCATATGAGCTGCTTCCCTCTGCCACACTCTTCCACCGTGATGCCTGCCTTATCTTGGTCCTGAGGAATGGAGCTAGCTACTTATGGACTGAGACCTCTGAAACCATGAGCCTCTAAATAAACTGTTCCTCCCCTAAAATTGTTCTGGTCAGATCTTTTAGTCACAGCAGCAAAAACACTGACTAAAACAGCTGCCAACACATTCTGACTGTGCTAAGTTCTAGTCTCCTAAGGAAGGAGTCTTTAATAGTACAGGATAATTAAAGAATCTATTTGGATGAGTGTCACATACTAGGAAATCAATCAACTGTAGTGCAGTCTGGTTGAAAACATAGATCCATATGACTTCAGAAGGCTCATTTTCCTCACCTGCATCTTATTTAAAAACCCTTAAATAACAGCACCAATCCAAAAAGTAGATTGCAATAGCCATTTGACTTGCTTCCTGGTAGGTGGTTTCCAGGCATAAGAAGAAAATCACAGATAAATGAAAGTGTGATCTTTGATTAAACTCACCCACTCGAAACTCAAGGGCATCAAATTGACAGTCTTGGTGACTTTCGAGGGAAAAATCCTCAAAATGAATGTAAATGGAGGAATTTCCCTGATTCGGATTGCTGAGAGTCCATTCACAGTTCAGGTTTCCTGAGTAATTACTGACTCCGTTGTAGCCAGGAGAAGTAAAGTTCCCTTCAGGGTTGTTGGTCAGAGACCCGCCACACACTAAGAAGCAAAAAGCAGCAGAGAAAAGAGCAGTGGGATTCTGCCTTTACCAGAAGATGCCAACACCCCAGGAACAGTAACCAAAACAACAAGAGCACCGTTTCTGTGTGGACTTGCAGTCAGGATTTCATACAAAGAACATGTAAATAATGGAAGAAATTTATGTGGATGAATAAAGGAACAACCGGCAAAACTAAAGTTTCTTTATTTCCCTGTTAGAGGTTGGGTTTGGCTGTGTGACTATACCTCCAAATTTGGGCTTATCGTTCATTCACATTTAATTTAAATGAATACCACATATGTTGGTGGTAGGTCCCAGTGGCTTCTGATTGGCAATTCTTTACATAACCCAAGAATATAATTGGATCAAATAGATAATATACATAACACTGTAGTGCCAGTGAACATGTGTGTATACATATATACGCATGTATATATACACATATATATACACACACATATATGAGTATATACACATATGTGTATATAAACACACATATATTCACTACATATGTATTTATATAATCACTTCCACTTCTCCTAAATTTAAAAACCCTTAGATAACAGCACCAATCCAAAAAGTAGTAGAATATCTATAATTGAAAGCCACATCTTACCTAATTTTGAAATATTCTATATCAAATGTGAACCCCTCTGTTCATTTTTTGCTGTAAATATGTATGTGGATAGGTAACTAAGAAACCATAAAGTATGTTCTGCCCAAATAAAATTAATTACTCTCTGGGACTAAGTTACCTTCTAAGAGGTGTATAGTCTCTTCAGCACAAAACAATTGACCAGGGACTGTGGATATGAATCTAATTCTAATAGTGATGCAAATTATGTGTAATTGTGCTAGAAGCTCATCTAATGTCATGTTTTTAGTCTGTAATTCATCATAGCAGTTTTCTTTCTGAAATCAGAAGGCTTTTTTTTTCTGTTGGGATTGAATTTTTTTTTTTTTTAAATCTGTTTACGAGTGTTAGTCTTATGTTGGGATCTCAGCTATAACCAGTCAAGAAAACATAGACAGCTTCTCTGGTCCTGGCAGACTGTGCGGCATCTGTAATACTTCTTACTAAGGGGAGATGCATCTGTAGCACCCAGTTACCTGCGTCTCCGCTGGATGTGTAGGAAGCAATGAAACCTCCATATGGTTGGGATCCATCCGTGAAAAACACCACTCTCATTGTGTTTCCTGAAGATTTTATCTCATTGCTTATATTCACACTACTGCACAGTTTCTCTAACTGGGGTGAGTTATTCCTAATGCCATTGAATACCTGTTAGAAAAATAATTAAACGTTGAGCAATGCAGTCCTTGTCACTGAATATTTCTAGATGACATTGTAGCCCGGGCCACTTCCGTCTAAGGCAATGCTGTGCTAAAATGAATTGCTTAACAATTAACAAACTCTCAGTGCCACACACCAACTGTGTTACCCCAGCACATTTTGTGACCTCAGAGTCATTTCACTAAAGTCAAAGTATTGTAGTAGTGCCCCTTACTGTATGTGCTGGCCAGTGAATGACTGCTACATATTTTGTACAGGGAATGGGTGCTACACATGTGGAGTACATGTGCCACTTGCTTATGTGATAGATCACAGAGTTCACTGATGGATAGTTTTTCTTTAAAAATGCATTAGGGCCTTTGGTATTTGGAAAGAAAGCTTAAATGCTAATCTCTAGTGATTCGTAATATATAATAACTCAAATATTTTAACACACCTTGAAAAGTAATTTAAAAATCAATCTCAGTGTAAATATAACAGCTCCTTCTTAATTACTTATGGATTCAAGACTTCATTTTTTAACTCATTTGATGGTTGAAGAATAAATTAGAGTAATATTGACTCCAAAATATTAACCAATATCTCTATTTATTTGCATAGTTATAAAGTAGGAAAATATCACTTTGCTGCTATACAAAACCAAGTGAATATTTTAGCTTGCCTCATTTTTCAGAGTTTGAAATAGAGCCAAAAGAGATAAATAAATAATAATTCATTGATTGAGTGCTTGCTACTCCTGTTTTTAAAAAATATTTGAGTGGCTCACAATTAGAAAGAAAGACTCATGTTACTATGACACTAAAGCTGTGCAGGAGAAGAAAAGGCTCTAGTACAGGAGATGCAAGATTTTTTATTTACTATAGTTTTGATGAATAAATTTTGCTCTTTGAGAGCTTCAGGTTTAAAAGGTCTTCCGGGTTACAGAACAGATGAAGAATTTTCTATGATGTATTGAGCAAACATAACGACAGCTTTTCTTATGTTCAATCAGCACCACACCCTCTCAGGCATGTACTAGCACCCCATGATCCAAACTGAGGCGCTAGAATACAGAAAGATTTGTAATTTTCTGAAGTTTAAAGGACTAGGAATATTTAAACTAGGAATCAAACTCCGATTTCACATGCTGAACCATAGAATAAAGAAACAGAAGATGACAAATATTTCACTAATACTGGAAACAGGAATGAGCAACACATTGCCAGAATCAAAAGGGATTATAACCAACGACAAGACTAATGGAACATGTTGGAAATGGCCTCTGTGCCTGCCTGTGTCTTTCCCTGGTGTGGAATCACAATGACTCAAAATTGTGTAGTCATCCATTTATCACATGGATTTCTGTCTTTAGGAGCAACCAGGGTGCTATTCCATTCTTGACCCTCTAATCCCTTTTGTACTCAGAAACTACAACTCCAAGAAGACAACAGGGTAGAAGTAGGCAAATGAGATTCGGGACAAGGTATTAAATTTGCTGTGAGCATGAACAATATCGGACATGGGGTTCATTGTGGTACACACTTGGTGGTATAGCTTTCATTTTCCCTGTCTTAACAGAGTCAGAGACGCGGATGGATTTGGAGGTATTTTATGCTCAGTTCAGCTGGATAAGATGTAGAAAAGCTGGGTGCATTAAGAGCTGCCCACCCCATCTGCAGATCTTAGGAAGGGTTTCTTTTTCTTTCCTTCTTCCTTCCCCTTTCCTTTTCATTTTTCTTTCTCTCTTTCTTGGCGAGAATGAATGAACAGCCAAGGATCATCAGACACTTAGCAAAATATCTACTATAAAAAGCAGAGACCAATATCAGTAAATAGGAGACAGAAACTTGAAAATTAATCCCCAAAGAAGCAACACAAAACTTCAAAATTATGATTAATATAGTCATGTAAATATAAATATATTAAATATATGTAATATTTGAATATGTACATTCCAAAAAATGAGGATAAAATAAGGTTGATTTCAGACATACAGGTTCTCAAAAATTTAGTCACCCATGTAAACTTCCTTAGGGACTTACAAGAGCATTTACCTCACCAAAAACAGTAAATTAATGAAGAAAAGCAATGTATAGTAGCATAAAAACAGGAACCCCCACCCAGAAGAGAAATAAAGGGACTTATAAATTTAGTGGTGAGAAAAATCCCCAAACAACATCTGACATCAGGCTTACAGCTGATGGACAAAGGAAAATAAATGAAACTGATACGGTGTATTTTATTACATGAGGTGGAATACACACCCAGGGTGCAAAAGGTGTGGAAGAATTAGTGCAAAGGGACTGGTGTCAATGCATAAAAAAAAATGCAGAAAATGTAAAAAGGATACAACTATCATCATTACTTAGAAAAACACAAGCAAATGTGACTGTATTTCACTACTTGGCTTAGTTGTGGATGGTGCTCACATGATCAGAACAATGTGTTGCAAACAATGTGTTGCAAAACACATTTAAACAAAAGTGGTGACATGTATATTGGAGAAGGAAGTTGGTAGAATATGTAAACCGTATACCCCTCATGAGCGCTGGTGGTGGTGAAGAGCCGAATCCTCATTCTACATAGCTGGATGTTCAAGATCAAAAAACTACGGAGTCGCAGAGGAGGAATGTTACTTATAAACAAAGGCACAAATGCCTGAAGTAGCCAAAAAGGTAGGGAAGCAGATGCCTTTGGTATTAATGATTACATGACAAGTAAGACTTGGCTCAGAATTTGTGGTAGTTGTCAAAATTTTGATTTCATTCTTTGAATGCTAAAACTATGACTGTTCATTTTATCTTTTCTACAGGATGCAAACACATTCTGATTGTAGGTTCTTAATAATCATGATATTCAAATCCATTTAAACTATGAAAATGATTTCAAAGAGAAAAAGCAACTGTTAGCATATGCATTCAAATTTTAGGAATATAAGTTTAGAATCCCAAATTGTTACCATTTTCACTTTCTGAATTCATCAAATATTGTTCAATAAACACCCATTATATTTATGATCATCAGAAAAACAGACTAAAATTAGAATTCAAGTGAATTTATATCATAATTGCTACTATATAAAATTATGCACTGCCTTGAAGAGATAAGAAAATTTATAAAAATATGGTGTGGTGGGAGTGTTTAATCTTTTATCTACTTCATTTTTTTCTATATCCTTATTCAATCAATAATAGGAAAAAATGTCTGTTCAAATTAGCAACTTTAGCCCAATGCCCACTATCTCTCAAATTAAAAATAAACATACCAGTTCCATATTTTCAATATCTGAGAAAAGACATTTCAGTCCTTAAGGCATTTGAAGTTGGGATCAAAGTTGAATGTGAACATTTCAGGGCAATACAAAGTGAGATTGGGATGTCACAAGATGTTTCACATTTTTGAAATTCGCTATCCAATAGTGGATGATTAAAATGATAACCAATAAAAGGGCTTAAAAGGCTAACAATGGTATTTTCACTTTTCTTTCACTCAATAATAATTACTTCTATGATGGGCAGATGCGGGGGATTCGGCAGTAATTGAAAACAAGTGTTTCCTCTCATGGAGTTTACATTCTACTGGTGGGAACAGACAATAAACAGATGAAGAAATAAATATGAGCTATACCAGCTGGTGTGGAAAAAAAATGCAGGGAAGTGAGATGCCTGTGTGGGTTCTACTTAGGGAAATCTCCGTGGATCAAGATCATTTGGATGGAGACCTTAACAAAGTGAAGAATGTGAACCAGGCAGTCGTCTGTAGAGGAACCACAGAGACGGCAGTAACTGCGAAGTCCTGATGGGGGAGCATCTCTTGTTCAAGGAGCAGGAAAGAGGCCAGGATGGCTGGATCCTCTTGAGCAGAAAGGAGTTTGAGATGAGAGACATGGGTAGAAAAGGGGCAGGCAGCAAATAATGTCAGGCTGGGTGGGTCTCCATAAGGATTTGGGATTTTCCTCTGAGTGAGATGAAAGGACATTAAATAATTTTGAAGGGAACAACGTGATTTGATCAGGTTTGAAACCCTCATTCTAGCTGCTGTTATTGAGACTGTAGGGAGTCAAGGGTCGGAGTAGAAAGACCAGTTGGAATTTGGTGAAATGATCCAGGTGAGTGGTGTTGGTGGTCACTGTGGATATGATGATGAGTTTTTAGAATCTGGGTATCTTTTAAAGATGTAGCCAGTGGGACTTCCTTCTAGATGCAAAATAGGGTATGAGACCAAGGGCTGCAAAATAGACATTAAGACTAAGGGCTAGAGATGTTACTCGGTGGCAGAGCATTTGCCCAGTATGTGTGGAGCCCTGGGTTCAAGAACCAGCAATCCCCTGACCCACTCACAGTCCTTCAGCATGCACAAGACCCTAGCACTGCAAAAAGGAAGGAAAGAAGGAAGAGATTTACTTTTGATCTGAGCAAATGGAATTTAAAATCATTTACCAAGATAACAAAGACTGCAAAAGCAACACTTCTAACTATTTGAGGTGGTGACTTGGAGGGCAAGTAGCCTTGGCTTTCCACTAAGAATCCCTCAGAACTGAACCACACAGCTGCTTAAGTCCTTATCGGGTAGCTTGTGCTGAGACTCTGGTCCCATCCAGCTATATGCTACCTAAGGTCCAGCTTCTCTGCCTACAATTTTTTGCCATATGTAATATACATTTATTTGCTCTAAAAATTTATCCTTATAAATATACCCTTAAAAAATTTATCCTTATAAATATATCCTTAAAAATTTATCCTTATCCTGATACACAGAGTGACAACTGATAGGCCCTCAGAGCAATTCTTCCAATTATGTTGGTGGATTATAGTTATTTTGTTCTCTCTGAAATACTTAGAATTTGTCTGAGATATAGTTGCATAGATGGCAAAATTCTGACCTAGTTTTTAGAGTATGATTTATGGAACAATAAACTCCCTAAACAATGAGATATAATATCTCTGATGGTACAGAGCACTTACAGTCACATGCTCAGCACTGCAGGATGGATGAGCTTCTAGCCGCAGGTTGTTAAAAGTTAGGCTGATCTGCCTTCCTTCCTGCACAGTGATTCTCCACTCGCAGATTCGGCCATGAGGATTTGGGTTCGGGTAGTTGGGAGAAGAGAATGTTCCAGTTGGGCCCTGTAGATCCCCACCACACACTGAAACAGGGGAAAGAATAGAAAAACTTTCAATCAAATCAAAGTGACTCCTTCCATAATTTTGCTCTCAAAATCAATTTTGTTTAAATTTTTTTTTAGTTGTAGTTGGACACAATACCTTTATTTATTTTTATGTGGTGCTGAGGATCGAATCCAGTGCCTCAAATGGGCTAGGTAGGCATTCAACCACTGAGCTACAGCCCCAACCTCTCAAAATTAATTTTTAATTATCCCTCTAGATGAAATAATTGTCTTTACTAATTTATTACTTTATGTTTGTGAACACTTCTAGAGAACATTTGTATTCACTTCTGATCCCTATTAACATTTAATCTGCTTTCATGGATGATAGTTCACTAGTTAAATTTTAATTATCATCAAGGCCCAAGATACATGAAAGGCCAATAAATATATTGAACTTAAACAGGCTAATGTAATTATTCAGTTTGGTTAGACAACGATCTTTATTTTACCTGGGTTTGTCAGAGTATTTGGGAATGTCAATTCTGAATAACTCTAGGACTCATAGACTATATTTCTTAAAATGTACACCACAGTTTAATTCTAGTGCCCATATTACATCTCTCATGATCCTAATTACTTCTCTTTATATCCCCTATCACACTGGCAATTTTTCATTTATTGGTGTGACTGGTAAGAAACACAGGCCTCCCTACTAACCATAAGGTCCAAGGGTTATGCTTTATTTTTCAAACTATGTTACCACCAGTGCCTATCCATTATAAGTAATCAACACCTTTTTAAAAATGAATCAATGAACTCACCTCCTATGCTGGATTCAAACCGCAGCCTGAACCCTGGGGCAATGCCGGAACCATCTGTGACAAACCTGACCGAAGCAACATTGCTAGAAGTGTCTATGTCATCAGGAATGGCACTTCCACAGTATCTGCCCAAAGCATTTCCTGTGATAGACAAAGAATTAGATGTATCCATATACGTGTGTGTGTGTGTGTGTGTGTGTGTGTGTGTATCTCCAGGTGATTAATTTCATTTAACCTCTGTTTGAGATATTCTGCATGCACAAAGAAAATAACAAATGACAACAATCATGAAAAAAAGTCAACATATTCAAATACATGACGATGTGCACAAAGCAAAAACTGCAACTGGATTAAAGGAAAAGTCTCAGCACGGTGAGGAAGCTCATTTGGTTAGATAAATGACAAGAACCAACAGTGACAAATGTGCCTCTTTTAAGACCAAGAGGCATGCACACATTACCTTTTTCTCTCTTTATGCCCCAGGGAGCCCCTCAAATAACTGCATGTGGCACTGAAGGATCGTAGCAGGAAGAGGACATCCTCCTTGGACAGTGCTCTCTCAGTGTGGTCTCCTGAATGAGCTATGGAACACACCTGTGGCTTTGGGTGTCCATTGGGAAAGGACAGAATAGAGGGAGAGAATTGCTGGTGCTGCCCAGAGCTGACTGACCTCTTTTGTCTTTCTCAGAAGCAGAGAAACCTCAGAGGCTGAATAAGCATATTTGAAAATAAACAACCCACAAGAGACCAGATATATTTCACTGACCCGAAGTATGATTTTCCCAGATCTCCACAAAGTCTTTTTCACAGCCAGAGGAATTCTGAAGGTTAAAATCTTCAAAATGGATGGTGAGATAGTGTCCTGAGAGGCCCTGGAGATGCCACTGACAGAATACATTATTTGGATAGGGAAGATGTGGGTATCCATTGCTTTCAATGATGCCACTTTGCCCTGTTACTGTTCCTCCACACTGGGCTAAAAAAAAAAAAAAAAGCAATATTCTACCACATTTTTTTTTAATTAGACCTGCATATTTGAAAACTTTTATGTGTCAAGTGAATATAAATTGCAGTTTTAAAATTCTGAACATGTGTGGTTAAATCTCTCATTATTCAGATTCTACTGCTGATGTAAGGAGAAATAATATTTCAAGTGCAATCAATAATGGGAAACGGAAGATGACCATTGAATGGCGTATTCTGTAATGTCACATTAATTCTATTGGGACACTATGTGAGAGCTATTAGTTTCAAGTAAATGTCATTTCATGGACCAGCTGATAGATTGATAGATTGATGATTCTAGAGACTGTCCAGACTTAGCTGGACGGGGTACTGCTATTGATCGGTAATGCCAGCTATTTCTAGTTTATCTGTTAAATTAACATTGTGCTGTAGTAACTGGTATCTCAGGATCTTGAAAGTTACTAGCCAATGATTTCTTACCAAGTAGAAGAGACAGCTAGATTAAATTATACACAACTTGACTCTGAATATAAAATGACCTATGGTATAAGTTAAATATTGTTATAACTAGGCTTTCTGAGTCCTTGCTGTATGAAACATTTGTTTGGCTAGTGTCCAGACCCACTCCAGACACTAATTGTCATGTCATTATGATCATATTGAAGTGAATCTTCAATATGTATACTTAGTGCACATTTTTAAAATAAGGAAATCAAATACCAAGAAAATATATCTGCTTTTTATTCAGTGACTGATTTGGCATTTGAGATTGGTGGAGGGAGCTCAATTTTTTATTAATGATGAGGTGTTCAGTCACTGTTCCAAATACAATGGTTTGATTACTAAATAATTTTATCATTTAAACTTATGCTATATGAATATATACATATACATATATATATTATATCATGATAAAAAGAAGAAAAATAATTTAACTGAACATATTTTTCACAAATTAGAAAAAATATAAAATAGACTAGTTTACTAGAATAGTGTTTTAGAATAAAAATGAAGGGAGAAATTAAAATTGATAAGTGACTTCAGTTTTAAACATTATACCCTTATTTCTATCATTAAATCATTCTTAAAATTATGCAGATAGACTTATTTTTAAAAATTGGAACACATTCATTTTACTACTTTATTATTTAATGTAAAAATAAAATGTTACCTATAGAATACTTGGCCTTGAATCCCATGTGAGTGGAGCTATTGTCAGACCGAAATCTCAAATACATAACCTCTCTTGAGGACAACTGGCTGCTGGGCAAAGACATCCCACAAAATTTGGAAAGTACTGGAGCATTTGAATCAACTCCGTCCCGCAACTCAAGGTAACTAGAAGAACAACTAAAGGGGGGGAAATCTGTTAAATTTACAAGGCCAATAGCTTTGACTTATTTAAATAATGAAGACTTCACTAACTTTCTCTAAGGAGATTACTATGCATCATTTCTATAGCATAAGATATCGTGATAGAGTCCATTTAAGCTTCATGTCATTTTAAAATGCTGTAATTTAGCTCAGAAAGACAGGTTTTACATGTATCACACTAGAGAATATTTATTTGCCTTTCAAATTCTGTTTTAGTTTTACAAATATAAAAAGTCATTTTCAAACTAACCCCTGTGGATTTCAAGATAACTGGAGTTATGTTTCACATGATAATTTGATACATTTCACAATGGAAATCTGAACTCTTATTTGGCAGCTCTGTGACAGGGGATAATGGAGAGCCTCAGCTGGAATTTTCTCCATCCATAAAATGAGGTCAAGTCTTTACTTAATGTTTCCTGAGAAAGTCAAAGCAGCCAATTAATGCACAGTGAGTGGGAGAATAGTATATTTGGCGCCCAGAAATGGGAAGCAAAACTCTACTATCACGTTTTGTATCACATATGGATTTATGCAAGTGTATAAACACTTTTGTTAAAATAAAGAGAAAACCATAGATGGTGTCTTATGGACTACCTAAGACATAGTAAGATATACTCTCTGGGTTGTAATCCTTTAAGAAACCAATATTTGCTTTAGTGCTGTTTCTGACTCTTGTGACCCCCTGGTGCCACCTAACACCAATTCCCATTTGTTAAATAGATATTTTATCATCAATGACACTGAATATGAGACTGAGCATATAAATACCCATCTACCAGAGGCACTATACTTTTCCTGTGGGAAGAACAACAGACAATATAAATCTCAAACAGCCACTCTCAATGTCTCTTGGAGGATGTCTGAAAGGTCAGAAGGGGCAATATCTGTTTTCATAATCTGCTCAGCTGATAAGAGAGTGGCTGCCAGGCATGGTTTTCAGGCTCCAGGCATTAAGCTTGTGCCTTTGTCCCTAGATTTCCTATATAGGGTGTACGGCTAAGAAAAGAAGAAATGAATTGTTCTGAGACATGACAGCTAAAGAGTACTGAGCGTGGGTAAGAGAAAAATGAAAACAGAGGTGACCTACTTGGGTGTTACTTCGATATTGAATTGATCTTCAAACTGCAACCTTATAGCTTTTCCCGGAGGAGCAGCTATGATCCAAATGCAATCCGCATGCTGCGGATAATTGCCAGGGTAGTTGGGGGAGGTCACATATCCAGCAGAATCAGCATCATGGATGTAGATATTGCCCCCACAGGCTGTCAGGAAACACAGTTAAATCAATTTGCAGTCTGGTGAAGGACAGTTCATTGCTACAATCATTTTCTAAAGTCAATTTATCTTCATTTCCAGTCTCCATTTCCTTTCAACTGGAATTATCTTTTTTTTTTCCTTGACAGGAGTCTCACTGTGTTGAACCAGGCTGATCCTGAACTCCTGGGTTTAAGCCATCCTCCTGCCTTACCCTCCTTAGTAGCTGGGACTATAGGTGTGTGCTACCACACCCAGCTCCAGGTGGGTCACTTTTTAATTTGCTATCTATCTTGTTGGAAACTCAATTCCTCTTTAAAGTCAACAAAATGACAGACACAGTTTCTGCAGCGTGTTAGAAGCATGCATACATTTCCACCACTTTGTTGAGCATGTAAATAAACTGGTGGTTATTGTTCAGTTAAGTGGAGTACAGCCATGACCTTGATATGCTTTAAAAACTAATCAGATATATATTTGTACAAATTTTTGGACATCCATTCATTATACATCTTCAGAATTTAGGTACATTTAAAGAGCAAGAGAAAGATGACATAAAAGGATTTATTAGTCTTCCCCCGCCGCCCTCCCGAGAGAAGACAAAGGACAAAGAGTCTTTTCTAATGCACCAAAGGACCATATAAAACTACCTTTCTTTTATCAATAATTATTCTTTGACAATTTCAGCAAATGAACTAGGCAAGAATAAACTCATTTACTATGCCAATGAAATTAACCTGTTCAATGACTCAGCCACACGTCCTTGATCTACTAACCTCAAGCTATATACTTCCTCTGCTATTCAACTGCTTATGGCCACATCTTGAATTTTGCCATTACTTAGAACTACCAGAGTCTCTGAAAGCCCAAATAGCAGAGCCCTTTGACAGTCTTTTCCTCCCTTGCTCCATATCTTTTCTTCGGACTCCCCTTGCAAAATGTCAATTCTGTGGTTGTGGTCAAATCATTTGTGCAAATGGTGCCACTGAATATAAATGTTCCCCAGTCTCAGCTTTGCCACCCTATTCTCCTACTACTTTTCATATAAACAATTTGTCCATTACTTTTCTTAAAATGACAATAGTCATGTGAAACTGTATTCCCTAATCCCTTTATTATCCTCATTCCCTCTTGATTCTCAACATGCTACATGATATTTTACTTGACAAAGAAAATACAAAAAACTTCAAATAAGAATTCTGTCCATTTATAATTTCCTATCTGTTACCATCCTGAAGAAATTCACCTGTATCTCTACTCTCTTCTTCTCCATTATCTTCCTGCATTTGGATCAGGACCCCATCCTATTCTGTCTCCTCAGGGATCTTGTACTTTACCTCTCTCCTCCTGGGCTGTTAATCTCCACCCAGCCCACCCACACATTTCATTCTTCAAAACTATCAAGCACTCTTGTTCAAGCTGTCAATCACCTGGAAACTGGATGCCCAAAGATCCTTTTTAATACTTATATATTTATAGCATTTAACATGGTTGACTACTTCTTTCCTCCTTTCATTTGCATCCCTTAGATTCTTAGACACCAAGTTCCTGTTCTTTTGCTCCTATCCCCCCTCATCCTCTGGCTTTTGGGTGTCTCTTTCCAGGGTTTTCCTGACATTGCTGGAAATTTCCAGGAATCTTTCTGTAGGTCTTTCATATTCTCCCTCTAAATAATTTTCTGATTGTTGAGAGCCGTCCATGTGCTGTGCATGGACTTTGTTGGCATCACAGCCTAGTAGTGAATAGGAACATCTGGTGTCTGGGAACTACCAGTGGACATTTATTTCCTCTGTGTAAGACTGCCCAGAGACATTGTTAATTCCTATTCTGCTATGCCATGTCCCACACAGCATCAGAGATGGGGTGACCTACTGTAGTCTCGCAGCCATCTCTGAGATGGGTTCGACCTGCCAAGAGGCCAATCAACCTGCTGACTGCAAGACACGAAGAAGCAAGACTCTGCCCTTGAAACTTTATACCTGCCTTTGATGTGTCCTTAAATAAACAGCTGGAGCCATTTGCTATTGTCTAGCTCCACCTCCTATGTGGTCTGGATCTATCAGGGACTCCACTTTAAAAAATATATTTCTGACTCTGTCTTTTGTTCTTTACTAATTGTTCTAGATTTTAATTTTTTCAGATGTCTTACACCCTCCTTGGCAGGAAGAAGACCCCCCCCCATGAGACACTGGCCATCACCCCTTATCTGATTAATGCTATACCCTCATGTCTTCACCTACAAATCTTTTGATGATTCCTATAGTTACAAATTCAGTCTAGATCCGTCTCCTGACTTCTAGACTCATGTCCCAACATCCTACCACACATCTTCACTGGATTTAACTTAGAGATTTCAAACTGAACTTGTCTTAAACTGGAATTGTCTAATTGCCCTTCCAGAGTTCTACATCCAAGAGTGATGGGTGACATTCAGTATCCACTTTTACTACCTTGTTTTTATCCTACATATTTTTTAAATATTTACTTTTTTATTTATAGGTGGACATAATATCTTCATTTTTATTCTTTTAAAGAATTTTTTTAGTTGTAGATGGACACAATATCTTTATTTTATTTATTTATTTTTTATGTGGTGCTGAGGGGAATTGAACCCAGTGCCTCACATACACAAGGCAAGCGCTCTACCACTGAGCCACAACCCCAGCCCTTCATTTTTATTTTTATGTAGTGCTGAGGATCAAACCCAGTGCCTCACGCATGGTAGGTAAGCGCTCTACCTCTGAGCCACAACCCCAGCCCCATCCTACCTACTTTTTGCCATAGGACACATATTTACCACAGTACATATTTTACTTATTTCTTATCTGTACTTTAAGACTAAAATTAAGCTCAATGAGGACATGGATTCCATTTGTTTACTGCTATATCCTTCAATATTAGCCACATGGAAAGCTTTTAATAAATGTTCACAAAATAAATGCACTCACTCAGCCAGAAGCCCAATATTATCCACGGCTCCTCCATGTCAACCCTCACCTTCCACATCCAAGTGACCTGCATCCACTCAATTCTGTATTTATAAACCTTTCAGTAAACCCTTTCTTCTGTCCTGTTACTGCCATTGCCTTAGTTCAGAACTTAATAATTTTTTTCCTGATTTAAATCTTTTGTCAGGTCTCTCTCTTTAGCCTTTCCTCCTACAATATATTTTCAATGATGCAGAAATATCAATTTCTAATTTGATCATGCTATGCATGTTAGGATTAAAATTTCTCAATGTCCCCCCTTAACCTCCGGGCTAACATCTTCTATCCTTAGGTTGGTATTTGTGGCCCTGAGCATAATGATTCCTGTCGGCTTCATCACCATATCTACATCCTTTTAACTCTATTTTCCAACAGTAGTAAATTTCTTTCAAAACCGAATGTGCCTTATCTTTTAACACTGAGACACTATACATTGTCCTATCCTTTCTTCACTAGTTGACAGATCCGTCTGTCCATCTACCTGCCCTGGGAGCCTTCTCTGATCTCATCAGCTAGAGTGTTTCTTCTATGTGTTCACATAGCTCCTGATGTATTACCCCATATGTTAACTGTACCTTTGCTAGCCTGTCTTCTCCACTGCACTGAACTCCTTGACAGAATTTGGTAGCTTGCACAGCAAGAAGCACTTTATAAACATTTGATTAATTAATTAAAGGGACAATTAATGAGGTGAGAATAAATGACATCTCAATCAACCACAGTGAAGAGCTGTCTCTAGGGAAAGATGATATAAAACAAGGCAAATTTGATGTCAAATGTTATTCACACAGGAATATATGTTAAAGAAATGGGAGTGGACTTGAAGTGTACATGGTGGAGAGTAGCCAGTAGTCAGGAGAAGCAACATCCTGGTTCCAGTTAGGGAAAATGATTAACTTAGTATGAAGAAACAAGAGTGATCATCTCGTTTGGGGTTGTCCAACAATAGGTTTTGAAACAAAAAAACCTTTGTTTAAATCTAATATTAAGAAAAGTCATAAGCCTGAAGCAAGATGGGGAAGAGGTAATGGCCACAACCAACTTGAATAGTGTGAGTCCACAAAGGAATAGAAAAGCAAGGTTGTCAAGTAAACCCTAGTGCATCTGAATTATCATGAAATGTTGGCCTAAAAAACATAAATGAATGGAACAGTAGAGTTGGGCTGAAGTCTGCTCATTAGGCACTGTTACTCTGATAATGTTTCCATAAACAGGTAAAATCAAACCATTCACAACAGCCACAAAGCTCAGTCTGGGGTTAGGGAAGGATGAGTTCACATCCATAAAGCAATGGAGCTAGATCTCTCTCTGTGGACCACAGCTGGAGTGAAAGATGTATATCACTTGTTGCTTTGGAACCTACGCAAGCTACTAGATGATTTTTTTGGTGTGTGATAATTAATGGAGACTTTTATTTCCTTTCCTTTCCCCAAATAAAAGAAGTGAGGCTGACACTTTAAATTCTCATATCTGGGAGAATGCACAGTTATGGTTTCACTGAGATTAATATGTATTTTGAAATGTATTCAAGAATCTGGAATTAAGATCACAATACCATCCTGAAATCCACATTATCTAATTTCAGGACAATAAACAAAGAGTGATTATTGCTATTGCTCTCCATTGACCCTACTTCCTGTTTTTGAAGCTATGCCTATTTATTTAGTCAACTAAACAAAATAAATATCACAAAATTCAAATTATTGCCACAGAATTAGTCATAATTAAATGCAGTTAAAGTTAATTAAATAAAGATTGCTATTGTAATATGGAATAATTAAATGGGTAAAAATAGATTTAGAATTAGTGTTTTTTTCCAAGGAAGCATACAAATTATTAAACAAAGCAATTATAATCCTTTCAATGTTTCTATAGATAGGTTTAACTGGAAATTTAATAATGGAAAGTTCTAAGATATTTCAGGGATCAATAAGAACAATTAATTTTGTATACATAGGGAATGTCACTTTGGTCACTAACTCTAAAAAGTTAACTTAGAAAAGTCCAAATCTTGTTTTACTTACATGAAAAAGGAAAATAACGATATTTTCTTTAAAAAAGTATTCATGTTGAGATATTTAAAGTGTCAAGCATATACTGAGTGCTTAATAATAGGTAGCTATTTTTTTTTTTGGTAGGGGGATTGAACTCAGAGGCACTCAAACTCTGAGCCACATCCCCAGCCCTATTTTGTACTTCATTTAGAGACAGGGTCTCACTGAGTTGCTTAGTGACTTGCTTTTGCTGAGGCTGGCTTTGAAATCATGATCCTCCTGCCTCAGCCGCCCAAGCAGCTGGGATTACAGATGAATGCCACTGTGTCTCACATAGGTAGTTCTTCTTATTAATGCTTTATTTTTTGTTCAGAAAAGAAGAATTTCCATGATTTTCCCTCCAATCCATTTAAACAAGGAAGGTAAGGCAATTGCATGAAAAATTAAAATCTAATCGCAATAGATATACTTACCTAGACTCTTTGCCTCATATCTGATCTTAAATCCTTGCCCTCCATTACTACTGTCAGAAATAAACTGAACAAACATTTGATTATCTGAGGTGAACAGAGTTGATGAAGGATGACTGCCACAAAAACGACCATTTCCTCCATGGGGTCCCAAAGGTGGAGAATAGATATCAGGTCCATTTTTTAGCTGAAAAGACATATTAAAATTGCATAATTCTTTTATATTGAGACAAATGCGGTGAGAAAAAAAAAACTCCTATTGATTTGTGTCCTAAGAGACAAAAATTACCACTGTGTTTTCTAAATGAAGTCTACTTCATTACAGTAATTAGAAAGGACAGCTAGCAAGACCTACCACCAGGTAATCCCCTTGGCGGCAAGAAGAATCTCCATTTGGGATGTGGAAGGGCTGTTCGAAATGGACAGCGATGGTCAGACCACTCTGGACCAAAACGTGCCAGGAGCAGTTGAGGTTGGGAGGGTAAGTCTCTGGGTACTTGGGGGATGTGATAATCCCTCTGTCTGCATGCAAATATCCACCACAGCCTTTCCAAGGAGAAAGAAAAGCAGGTTATTAAAAGGACAGTGACCACCAGGTTTTTTAGGCTTTCCTATTTTTCTTGGTAGTTTTCAAAGGGCAGACAATAGAAACAAGGTTTGAAACTGAAAGGGATCTAAGTAGGGGAAACAATTGGCAGAATGAATACTGAGTGAGCATGCTCTGCTGGGTATTTGTGTGGCTGTTGTCATGATCTGTGATACAGAGGGAAGCAATAGGAACAAATCACTTAAAACTTTCATAAACCCTACTTTGTTTTTGTTTGTTTATTTTTGCAGTACTGGAAATTATACCCAGAACCTCATGCATGCTAGGCAATTACTCTACCACTGAGCTACATCCCCAGTCCTTTTAAAATTTTATTCTGAAACAGGATCTCTAAATTTTCCAAGCTGTTCTTGAACTTGTAATCCTCCTGCCTTAGCCTCCTGAATTGCCTGGAGCACCATCATGTCTAACTTAAACTTCCTTTCTAGAGGAGGGAAAGATGCAACAAGAAAATACACAATATATAGGAGAGTCTTTCAAGAAAAATAGGAGGAATGGAGGGTGAAGGATAAGTAGCCTATCATCTAGGGAAGTTAGAAATGTCCTGAAGGAATATTTGAGCAGAGGTCTGAAGGAAAGGAAGAATGGAACTAAGTGGGCCTTGTGAGAGAAGAATGTTCCAGCCCAGAGAGTGTTGTAAAGGTTAAGAGGTCTACCAGGGAAATCAGAGGGATGAGGCAGAATGTGAGAGCGGAAGCACAGCATGGGCCAGGGCATGCAGGAATTAGAAAGGACTCATTCCAAGTAAGAGGAAGACACTGAAGGTCTTGCACATCAGAATAGCATCATTTTGTTTAAATCATAAAATGATCACTGTCTGCCATACTAGGACGGTAAAGGGTACAGGCAAGGGAAAGTACAATCCGAGATCTAATAAGGAGGGGATTTTCAGTCTGAGGAGTAAATGGAGGCCCGGACAGGGATGGTAGAGGGGGAAATGGCAAAAGTAGTTGGAATCTAGATGGAGTGCAACAGTAGAAATTACTGGGTTTGGTGGATGGGTAGAATGTGTGTCAGCACGTGTGACACACAACTTACAGAGGAGAGTGGCACACACATACAGTTGAGAGAGAGTGAGAAGTATTTGGGGCAGGCATTAATTTTCCATTTGTTAGGAACTCCACAGCTTATCAGAGAGTGAGTGAGGAAAGCTCACACACCTAGTTAAAGCACAGAGGTGAAAATTTATCTTTAATCTATCTAATTCCAAAGTCTATTCTCTTAAACCATGATACATCCTGTTTCCCTGATTCTAAAAAGCTATATACAATAATGAAGAAAATATTAGATTTATTTTTAATATTAGTCTGAGAATCTGCTTTAAGATGTTTCAAACACATTAGAGTCAATATTCCATACAATATCGACTACTTCTTTAATTAGTTTAGATTTAAAGTTATTATGAGCTGGATATGGTAGCACACACCTGTAATCCCAGGGGCTCAGGAGGCTGAGGCAGGAGGATTGGGAGTTCAAAGCCAGCCTTAGCAACTTAGCAAGGCCCTAAGCAACTCAGCAAGACCCTGTCTCAAAATAAAATTT